TACTAGTGATCTCTCTCTCTCTCTCTGTCAGATAAGTAAATAAAATCTTAAAAAAAAAAAAAAGTCTTCTTCTAAAAAAATAAATAAATAAATAAAATAAAACTGTAACAGAACTAATCCAAAACATTAAGGAGGAGTTAAAAGAAAAAAATCTATTTTATGACTTTCATGCATAATACCTGCAAATGGATGAAGTGATTTATCCACTTAATTGTCTTGGTGATGGTTCTCAGAAGCAGGAGACACATACACATGCACCACTGACATCCTGTACTTTCATAATTACTAACTTTTGTTAAAATTTTGAAATTAAAATTAGTTTCCTTTTGTTGCATAAAAGAGCATACCAAATAGAACCAAAAGTTCAACCCCTTTGATGTTCTTTGGTAATGTGCCTAATTAAAAATAACTAGGATCTCCAATGCATAATTACACAAATACCTAATACACTCTATTTCCAGTCAATTTTGTCTCAAACATAAATATGCACCAGAAGTATGAATGATCGACATACTACTCCCTGCAGTATCTGTACTATTTCTGAATCAAGGTTTTTCTTGAGCTCAGTATTTTCACTACATTTTCCTTGCTAGGCAATCATCTCCCAGTTGGACAATTAATAAGTGCTTTTTCCCACAGCCCTTGGCATGTAACCTCGCTTACCCTGTATTTTAGCATGCACTATATACCTTCTTCACTCTGACTGGTTTTGGCAGTGACCCACAATCTAAATCTCTTTCCTCCATTTGATATAAGTGAAACTATAATTATCTAGGGGTAATTTCAAATTACTACTTCATTCCACTAGCAACTGATGAAGATTAGTGGTCTTGCCTTGCATCTGAGTAAGTCAGCAACATAATCACAAGAGAACTCAGCAGGCAACATTTGATTCATGCGAACTCAATTACTTCTGTCAAACACATTCACTTCAATAAAAAGCAAAAACTTCCAAAATGTGTTTTTGCTAATAATTTTGTAGTCAAAAAAAAAAAAATCATATGACTCTTAAGGGAAAAAACAGCATGAATTTCATCAGAAATAATAATAAATAACAAGTAGGAAAACATATTTGTAGGAATGATTTAATACATTATTAGTTTCTGAAAATAAAAATATTTCAAAGAAATAAATTTGTATACTTAAAACAGTTTATTATTGAAAATTCAGGCATATAAATAAGCCATAGAAAAATAAATGCGTTCTATAATTTAAGTTAATGCAACAGAAACCAGAGTATTCTGCTACCTCATTAAAAACAGGTTATTACGGGATAGTCAATTTCGCTTAAAGGAAGTAAAATAAGGGGACATGAAGAAAAGATGATAGATGATGAATTGCTAAATGGACAAGGACTTCTGAGTCACTTCTTGAGTGTCTTCTGAGTTGAAGCCATATGTTAATGAGCAGCCCAGCTTTCTGTATCCTGAATGTTTAGTCTCTAAAAGACCTTAGGTCAACTCCATGATGCACGTATATCAGGTCACATGAGCATGATCTGACAGCAACTACCTGGTCAAATCCTAATAAAGTAAATATTAACATGTGATAATCATTACAATGGATTTACTCAAATTTCAGCTTCTTTATACAGTCATATCTTTAATGAAATCCCAACATATTTTGATTATCAAAGAAACGGTAATTAAATGTAAATGTATAATAAGAGTATATTATAAAAACATTTCAGGATGTGATGTTCTGAAGTCTAGATCACTAAGACGGTCTCCGTAACAGTTAATATATCATATGCCAACCATGTATGATTTAACACAAAGAACTTGAAAATTCGGCCTGAGAATCTTAGGACTAAGAAATGACTGGTTTAAGAGGCACATTTGTCAATTCTGTGACCAAAAAGACTTTCTACAGATGATTTTAAAGTTAAAAAACGCATTAATACAGTAGTTTCCCCTTCTCTACGCTTTAGTTTCTGGCGGTTTCAGTTACCTGCAGTCACTCCAGAAGAGAAACAGAAGATCCTCCTGCCATATCCTCAGAAGGTTAATAGTAGCCAAATGATAGGTCATGGTGCCTATGTCATTCCCCTCACTTCATCTCAACCTGCAGGCATGCTATCGTCTCACATCATCCCAAGAAGGGTAAGCACAATACAAGATACTTTGACAGAGCGTGAGAGACCTCATTCACATAACTTTTATTATAGTGTGGAGTAGTTACATTTTATTATTTATTGTTGATCTCTTACTGAGCCTCATTTATACATTAGACCGTCACATAAGAAAAAGCATAGTGTTTATAGGGTTTGGTAATATGTGCAATTTCAGGCATCCCTGGGGATCTTGTAACGTAAACCCCTCAGATAAGGAAGGACCACTGCAAAATTAAAGCACAATATTCTTTTATACTTTTGCTCATTCTACTCTCTCTTTTGATTCATTTTTCTACTTTTTGCCTTTTGATTTCTTGCTCATTCCTTAAGATAACATTCACCACCACTGCCATCAAGGACCATGTGATCTATTGGGGGTGAAGAGAGTCATTAATCAAACAATAAATCAACAAAAAGATGCAAAATCATATCTCTAAAGAGCTCTCTATTATTACTTACTTATATACCTTGTAGGTAAATAATAGAGAGGCCTGATCTTGAAGACTCAGGGATAGCTTCCCTGAAGAAGAGTTGCTGGATGATAAATTTGAAGGATTAGTATGAGTTAATCAAGCATGAAGTTGGTAGAAGAATGTTTCAGGGCAGGGAAACAGAATCACAGAACAACTAGTAAAAGTGAGCTTTTGAGAAAGAGAAAGAAAGCCAGTGTGACTAGTGCACAGAGAAGAGGAGGAAACATAGCTTAAGATGTGTCTAGAGCAAAATCAAGCAGAATCTTAAGCTATTGTAAAAATTTATCTTAGAGGAAACCACTGAAGTATTTAAAGTTTGTGGTGGGGGTTAAGTGGGGGCAGAGAAGGATGGGTTTGTGTAACAACGAGATTTGCATTTCTGTAAAGGCATATATTCACATGACTCAAAAATCAAAATATTATTATACAAAGTCATTCATTATATTTAAAGTTTCTGTATTGGGGAGTGAGGAGGCACCATTCATATAGACTGTATTGTGTAGAACACCCCACTGCCTCTCAGTTAGGTTTCCACCCCTCAATTATTAAAAGTATGAGAAGAGAAAGGTATGCACTGAGTATCTGGACTAAGAAATATTCTGTCAGAACACTACTTCCCCAAGATGCTCTCATGATAAGAATGCACAGAACCTTTTAATCCCCACAACAATCAAAAATTGTCTTCTATAAATGCAGAGATCTTTCATACCCTCTGTCCATTTGGATGAAGACAAAGTTTATTTTGTTCTGACCTAAAGTGACCACATACCAATCTCTTAAGTAACATAAATAATCAAATAGAGCATTTGCTTTATAATACTGGTAAACAAAACTTTAGAAATAGTAAGATTTATATTGTAAATATTTTAGAAGAAATAATGAATTGTGTTCAACAGATTATAAATAATCTTCTGCTTCTGACTCTACAATTATATATATCTTCACCTTACACTAAAAGGCACTGTTCAAGAAGAAAGGTTAAGATAATGTTAGAATTTTTCTTTAAATCCAATCTGAAATGAAAAATAATTCACTTCCCTGAAAAGTTTAAAATAATTTACAAGACATAATTTTGACTTAATAACACTTTATATATGTGTATATACACATACAAAAGTATAGAGAGTTGTAGACTAAATAAAGACAACCATAAATTTAATTGTAGATGATATTGTAGGAATACAAAATAAAAGCTGATGCTGAAAAATAATTTTAAAGATGGTGCAACATATTTCTAGGGAGAAATAATTAAGTAAAGTCACTATTATTTACTGATCATTTCCCTAGTTTTGATTCCCTGAATCTATAATCAATCTATAGTAGGCCTGAATGAACATGAGCAAGTTGATTCATATAATATAACGGATTTAGGGGAAAAAAAAATGCATCTGAAGCTACCAGGTGGTATTACGGATGTCTCAGCATTCAGTTTTCTCTTAGTGAACAATAACTCTCCTTGCCTATTTAGCATGTACACAGCATGGTGAAAACAAGCTCAGGTTCATAAGGATGAATCATTTTTTTTTAAGTAAAAATATTTTTTTCTTTATATGCGGTTCTTCATTCTGACATAAAGCATTAACCTAGTCCAAAAAACCATTGTTAAATATCTAAGTTTAACTCACTATGCTGCAGGCAAAATGAGGGTATTTTCAAATGAAAAGGGAAATACAAATGATCAAGTTTCAATTTAAAACAAAAATTAAAACAGAAAAAAAATCCCCAAGTATAAATTGCTTTGAAATAAATTTTTTTTTTTTTTTTTTTTTTTTTTGTATTGGCTCTATCTCCAAAGCTATTTTCTTGGGTACTACTTATTATGCATTCCATATTGACGTGTAAGTTTTTAAAAGCAAACATGTAATAGCAATTATATGTAAACAATACAGTAAACTAAGTAAACTGTCAGATGACAAGCATTTTCATACGGAGTTCATATGGTCGAACTTATTTCTGAAGAATTTTTTTAAAGGCAGTCAAAAGTATACCAAACAAGTCTCATCTAACATTTGCATTTGAATTTTATGTAGCAAGGTGAGGGTACTACTATTTTCTCTTCATGGAGAGAAAATAGCAGTAGAGCAGCAGACAGTTTTTTTCTTCATACAAAGAAAACATTCCTTTGGTTTGAGTTACTCAAAAATAAAACTCCTGAAAGCTAAATTAATATAAAATACTGCACTGCAAGTAAGACACTCTCTGAACATTAATTATGTATATCCATCAAAATATTACATTAAATCTTTGACCACTGCCAGAAATTTTAAAATTCGGAGAGAAATCAAACTTGAGGAGAAATAATCTCCATAAATTAGCAAAGCAAAAGGTCGCCTGTCCATAATCACTGGAGGAAATACACACACACGATCCAACTGAAGTGGACAGCTCCTGCACGTCTGCAGGCAAATTCTTACCTTGACAGGTGCCATTTTTCTCTTCATATCCTGCCTTGCACATGCATTTCCCGATGGGCACCAGCCACTCCCCTTCAGCACTGCAGTGCATTTTGGGTGGTTCGTCTGTCACAGAGTGGTTGACACAGGAGCCCGACACTTCAAGCAATTGCGAAGAATCAGCTCCAGTGATTGTGTCGGGGAACACAGCCAAGTGTCTTACCACCGAAGGGCATTTTTTATAGTACACACGCACAGACACCAGAGCAATGCAAGCACCCACATCTTGAAACGCAAGATAAAATCCCTTTTTGGTTAGCGGTCCTACATCTCTGACCTCTGTATTCAGTTTCATAACCCGGTCACCAAGATCAAGCTCTGTAAAGCTTTCATCGGCCGCAATAGTATCAATTTTGATGTACTGGTTTTCCTTGATGTTTCTCCCGTTCTCATCATCTGATTCGAAGTAATACATGTTAAACGTTTCTTTACAGGTTCCCAGTCCTCCAGGAAGACTGTTGCAGTCCCGCAGAGTAAACTTGAGTTCTATAAAGATTCTGGAAGCACCTTCGTTGGAAATCCAACTGGTCAAAAGCCAGTTATTCTGATTCTGTTCCATAACTTTGCATACTTGGTATGTGTGGATAGGGGCATAATTTTCATCAACTTCGCCAATCTCTTCCCACTGTATAAATAGAAAGACAATTATATAGTATTTAGAAAATAACTAACAAAAATTATCATAGAAAACTATTTTAGATATAGAAATTTCTGCAGCCTTAATCTATGGTATTGGGAGAAGGAGCTCTACAATGAGAATTTTTTTAAAAAATACCTTTTTAAATTAAGTAAATTAATAGAACATTATTCTTTGTCTCCACTAACTCAAAAGTTAACACAAATGAATTTGATGTTAAAGAAAATGCATGTATTTCACAGAAAACGTAGACGTAAATTGAATGTGGGTGCAGTTAACACGAAGGAGCAAGTCAGAGGAAATTAACTATATTTGGAAGAAAGTTAAGTATGTATACCAACAGAGTAGATAAAGTGTGACAGAAAAAAAGAAGTACATTTTTTAAAAAACAGCAGAAAAAAGCAGTAAATGTGAAAAAGAAGGGAGAAAAAATGTAAAATGTGAATTCACATTTACTTAATTCTGGCATATTATAAATAACACATCAATGTAATAATACTTGCAAGAAAATTCATTAGTTTAAAAGCAATAGTAGATGCTTATTTCACTGACCCAATCTGTTTGGGATTCTTTTGCAAATTGGATTGCTAAATGTTTATTCATAAGTGTATCTATAAAACATATACCTAGAGACAGATATAAAATAGAGATTAAAATTATATATGAATAGCTTTGGCATTTGAATCCTGAGCTTTTGGGAATGCATTAATTATTTTTACCAACCCATTACTTCACACAGAGTGACCTTAAGAGTTCTGAATATAAACAGGGTACAGAAAAAAAATTAAGTATGATTTATATAGCTTCCAAAATATTTGGTCAGAGAGAGCTAGGCTTAGTTCTTTCCCAAAAAAGTATTCCAGTTTTAAGACTTCTGATGTACCATAATCACTTTCTGAACAGTATAGAAACAAATTTTTATTCTCCCTAAAGACATTATTATTATAATTTAAGAAGTTGTTTAAAGATTCATAAAGAACCTATGTGTACAAAATTATACATATTTTTGTTTTAAATCTTTTAAAATGATCCTAAAACACAGAAATCAATGAAATCATACTGACTTCCAATAAATCCAGCATGTGATTTCAGACATTAAATATAATAGATAATAAACTTCATAGAACTTCATCTCTTTAGACATGAAATTAAATAGAGCATTATTTCTTGATTCTGTTCAACTGACACAGATATGAAAAATGTGGAGTCACAAGGGATGCACATAAATCGTGTACCTCAGATGGTCCCTCTCAAAATTCTAACTGCCCTCAGACAGACATAAGTAAAAGGTGCTAATGAGGGAAAACTGCTGAGTTCCTTAAATTCACAAGAGAGAGACATCAAGATTTTATCTTAACCACTTTCCCATCATGGTGTTATGTGAAGCCTTAGTTCTTTCACTTAATCTCAGTTTTGTCTTCTCTCAAAATGTACATAAACTCTACGTAGCTTCAGGTTTCCAAAACAGCTTTCTATCTCAGCAGTCTGCCACTAAACCATTCACATCGTCTTCCTGAAGTGATCCAGCTATCAATCTTTTTATTATAAATGGTTACTGAATGCCATTATTAACATTTCATGCAAAATAATACCTCACCTAACCGAAAATCATACAACTGATCAACTTAAGTTAAATATATATTTTTGAGTTAGTAAAATGGAAATAGCATCAAAAAAATTTCTTCTCTAAAAAAGGAAAATAAAAATGTTACATTATCTCTGTTTTCTTTTATAAGTCTCCCAATACAAAACACAAAAAGACTTCAAATCCTTGACCTTAGATCATTTATAAAATAAAAACTATCTCTGCATCGTAATTCCAATAGGACAATGCTAGCAAGTGAAAGGAATTGGAGAAGTTAAAGGAATCAGAGCAACAGCATCTTCTAAGAGATTATAAGGCAAGCAATTCACAGTCGTTGTCTGTATAAAGTCCACAGTACCACAAATATTATTAAAAATGCAAGCCAAGCAGCACTCGACAAGACAGCTTAATAGTTACTGCTTCAGGTGATAATTTCAAAGCATGTGCATAAGCATCTTACTTCTCTGAATATTCTCAATTAAGACAAGAAAAATTATAATTTTCTTTGAAGTTAGAATGTATCATGGTGAAATTTTATTTATTTTTCTTTTCAAGTGTCCAAAATATAAATGAAGGCTCGCATTTTCTATTTTTAATGAGTGAATAGAAATACTTTAATTTAAATAATTATAGCCATAAGCCATTCAGAGAATCAACTGGGGAATGCATACACATTTCCCATGAATAAGTGCTACTATGTAGACAAATACACTAAGACACAGACAAAAAATTTTCATTTATTTTGGATTGACTAGTTGAACTACAACTCCAAATTCTTCCAAGTTTACTTCCTTTTTAATACAAAGCGGACATCTTGCCATCCTCAGTAATGATCATACTGACGAAGAAGAAACAATGGGATGAAAAGAAAGTAACACCAAGAACTCAAGAATGTGGCAGGTATATCCTTAGACACTTTTGCAAATGTCATGTCAAGGAAATTATAGCAGTTTAATGAAGGCACGGATAGAAAACATAATATTTTTGGTTCAATTTTGTAGGATTTCCTATGACCCCAAGGTTTAATAAAAGTATTTGCTGTTCCTTGATTATCATAAGCAATGTGCCTGGGCATTTTGGAATTGTGGTCACTGAATGCAATATGGTGGTGTTCTCTTTTCTTCAAGTCTAGCAACTCCTGAAGGCTCACCCTCTGAGCCCATGCTTTTCTCTGCTCCTTTCCTCCTTACTCTTGTATCTTTAAGATTAAAGAACTGGTTTTACACAGTCAGCTTGGACTGGCTTGATTTCTTCCCCAGATGCTTAGGCTTGCTCCTTTTCCTGCTGGGCACTGAAAGCTCTTAAGTTGTATTCAAATTCAATGCTTGACCAGGCACTGCAAGCCAGTCCCATTCATCAGAGCAGCGACAAACAAAATGGACTTATTTTCATATCCATGTGTGAATCATGATAAACATCCAAAAGTTAGTGTTACTAACTTTTCCTACCCAAACCAGAACTACCCATAACTCAAACACTCTATTCTAGTCATTAAATGTCCCATATAAGATATTAGAAGGGGTCTTCAAAGGTCTGGCTTTATCATTCATATTAGAAATGAGGAAATTGAAGACCAGACAGAAGGAAAGATTTTCCCAAGCTCACAGAGGACAACTCTTTCCATCTGAGCATTCCATCTGCCTGTGTCTTCCTCTGTCCTCTTGTTGGCACATCTCTGTCCATGATAGTGTATTTGTGTGTGGGATTCCTTGATTAACTGCCATCAGTTGCTACCCAACTCTGTCAAAAGGAAATTCACATTTTCTCGCCATCATCTAGCTATAAACCTTTTTTCTTTATCTCTCTCTTTTCCTTGCTTCTTTCCTCATGAATTCCTTCCTTGTTTCCTTCCTTCTTTCCTTCCTTTCTCTTTTCCTCCCTCCCTCCCATCTCTCTCTTTCTCTATGTACACACACATCACACACACACAGAGTCTGAAATATAGATATGAGTAGACACATGGTTGCCTTATTCTCTACTGTATCTCAGAGTCTGACACCACAGGGCAATATATTATACAAATGAATTAATATCAAATATATACACATTCCTCCTTAGTCCAGAGATCTGTTAATTCAAAATATGCAATAATTCAAACATGGTAAATAAATAATTGTATGATTTGTCTTTTGTGTTTGTTCACACAAAGATAAATTTTGTTGTGCAAATTGTCTAAATTTTATAAATTTAAAACGGAGAGTTTATAAATTCATGGGGTTTTTTTGAAAATTAATCTTCAATAAAAAGCTGGAAGCATTTAAGATATTTTCTTTTGTTCACTAATCCATACAATTACTTGGAGTTCAGTTTTGTGTATTAACCTATAGAACTAATTTGCATTAACATAGATTTTAATAATTTTAATTTATAGCTTAGTTTAAGTGTTATTTTGACCATGTTTAAAAATAATCTTTTTGGGGCGCCTGGGTGGCTCAGTGGGTTAAAGACTCTGCCTTTGGCTCAGGTCATGATCTCAGGGTTCTGGGATTGAGACCCACATCCGGCTCTCTGCTCAGCAGGGAGCCTGCTTCCTCCTCTCTCTCTGCCTGCTTCTCTGCCTACTTGTGATCTCTACCTGTCAAATAAATAAATAAAAATCTTAAAAAAAAATACTCTTTTCATTTTTTACCCACCTATCTTTTTCACTATTCTGTACAAATTAAAAGCTCAGAATATAGCATATGAGCTAGTAGCACTAAACTTTATTTCACATTTCAGTCAAACAACATTGTGACTTTCTTAGGTATTTTGCTTAGCAGAGTGATATAAAAATATAGCTAAGAGTCACTTGCTTTCAGTTTTACTCTGACATGCCCAAAGCATAACTTTGTAGCAAGACCTTGTTTACAACATAAGTGATTCTTTGAATATAGGGAAAATTACCTTATATTTGTGATTTAATATCACAGTATTTTGTATAATACCTTTTGAAATGCTCCAAAAAGAAATTAATTCCAGGTTTCCTATTATATTTAAGATACTTTTAAATGTCATTTACTATGATCTGCAGTATGTGTGTATACGTGTGCGTGTATCTTTCCAATTGTTCCCTCCTAAAATATTTACCTAAAGTCTAGAATTCTAGAAGCTTCTTGTTATGCAAAAATCAGATGAAATACAATATAGGGGTGGCTGGGTAGCTGAGCTGGTTAAAGGTGTGCCTTTGACTCAGGTTATAATGTTGCTGCATTGGGCTCCCTGCTCAACAGGGAGCCCGCTTCTCCCTCTCTCTCTGCCACTCCCCCTGCTTGTGCTCTCTCTCTCTATCAAATAAAGAAATAAATAATTTAATTATTTGACACACAGAGAGCACAAGTAGGCAGAAAGGCAGACAGAAAGAGGGGGAGAGACAGGCTTCCCACTGAGAAGAGAGCCTGATGTGGGGCTCCATCCCAGGACCCCA